TTTTCAGTAAACAGCCATTTCATAAGGCTTTATGAAATGCTAATTTCTTTATACTAAAGAATAAGGCCCATGTCTTTTTCCCCTCATTGTTTCCAGATCTTTTATAACGGAATGTTCATTTCTGCTATGTGAACTGTGGGTAGTCCATCTGAGGTGCAATTGGAACAGTCTCAAAATTCCATAGAGATTGCATTAAAAGAGTAACTCCACTCAGACTTTCCTAATTCCTTGATCTGTATTGGACCTCACTGTCTGTAGTGCTGGGTTTACAGACCTATAAAGACTTTTCTATATTTCTGAATACTTTTGCTGCTGCTGTCAGCATTCTCCATTATTCTGAGACTCAGCTACTAAGTTTTCAATAAGGAAATAAGGTCAGCTCCCTATACCATCTGTAGTTTAAGAAGATAGAAGATTAAAAATATACATGCTATTAAGAACTTTGGATATCTTCTTAAAACTATATGATTAGTAATCATGAAAATAAACATACATGCATGAAATAACAATGAATGGAGATAGAAGCTATGAAATTGAAGTATACTACTTGTTGAGTTATGTAGGGGGTTTGAAGAAGTGAAATGGAAGGAAGAAATATTACTATATTATAATTTGAAACATAAAAATAATCAGATAAAGAAGTAAAACCAACCAAACCAAACTAAATTCTTCATAATAAAAGAATGATTAATTTCTCTTAAATTATTTTTTCTATTTATTTATGTGAATTAGAACATGTTATTGGTAATTCTGAAGCACATTAACTATCATATGATCAAGATTTAGTATTTTCCTATGACCATTAATCCTTATCTAAATATTTTTTATATTGATATAATTTACTACTTCTAACTTTCATATTTATAGTTTCATAGGTCATACAGAGTCACTTCTACAGATAAGAAATGAACAGTACACATTTTAAACATTAAAACACCCTTTCTCTTTTCAAAACACTGACTTCCATATATTAGTTTTTCCTTACATTTTCTTTCAGTTCAGGAAAGTAACAAAAATTGATCCAAGATAAAATTTATTGGTGCTTGATGCTGTTTCATGAATTTGTTGGGCCACCTAATGGTATTTAATAGCTGAACTATTGGGTTATCCAAATATTGTTGCATGTATTCTCACCAGAAGATAAAAGATTGTACAGGCATAAAAAATAGAAGGACAACTTCGTGTATTACATGAAGATCCACTTTAGAGATTTATATAATTCTATGGTCCAGTGTCCTTTGGAAATATTTCCCAATAAACTCTTCTATATTCATAGGATTTTTAATTTGGACAAATAAATACAATGAAAATTTTATCATTTCCCAAACAAAAATGGGCTTTGTCCTGCGGTATGTGTGAGTTTGTAACTATGGAAAAACTCAAAAACATTCTCCCAATTCACTGGTTCCCAAGCAAGGCCACTGCCTTCAAAATTGGAGCCAAATAGAAATATATTCTATGTGTGAGTGTATCCCATATTGCATTTATTTGGAAGAATTTTACCGAGGTATAGTTCACCATTTTTGATGACATATCTTAAGGGGATGTCTTTTATGAAAAAATGTGGATATCATCATGTAAGCTGGATGATATTTATATGTGATAATATCATAAACCCTATAGTTTCATCAGTAGGACAAAAAGGGGTAATAGGATCCAGGTGATATTGGCTTATTTTATTGGAACAATTAACTGAGGAGTATTTAAAGACACAGGCATCTATTATTGGAAGTCTGGCAGTTAGAATATTTTTACAAGTTAACTAATTAGCTACTGGTATGACTAGAGGAAGACAGATAAGGTTTTGGTTTATTGAAGCAATTTTGTGACAGAATGAAAGAGCCACTTTAGTTAGAAACCACTCAACTACTTAGATATTAACAAGGGAAAATTCTTTTAGTAAGAGTGCATACCTGGTTCTGGTTTATGGACAAAGGGAACCAGCCAGCATCAGAAATTTCTGTTTGCTTGTATAGTTTCATAGCCCCAACTTATATTTTGAGTAATTAACCATGTTTTACAGATACAGAAATTCCAAATTTCATAGTTTGAACAAATGGGGAGATTTTCAATGCATACTGTTGTCATTGTTCTCTGGCGCAGACCAGAACTTCTTTAACCAGGAGCTGTTACTCAAGGTTTTCTGGTTTGCTTGGCAGAACTGTGTTTTTCCTAATAAGACAACTGTGAGCACTCCTTCAGCTAAATTCTTCTTCCCATGGTTACTATTTCCTAAGTAATTTATAGGTCCTTTAAATGTCAATTTATTATTCTCATTTTTCAGTTTTTCCTATATAAATATGGTACTTAAAGACTTATGCATATCTGTGTATGAGATTATGATTCAGCTCCTACTTGTACAATATATATGGGAAGTTCACAGACAGAACCACTTTTCAATGTAAGCAAATACATTTTAGGGACAGCATGTGCTGTGTTGCATACATGAATGGACATCAAGTATGTTTTAGGTTAATTTAAAATGACTCTTTATAAAAACAATAGATATTTATGTAGAAATATTACTGGAAAAATCTGTCCCCTGAATTCCTGTCAGCCATTGAGATGGACAAACTGGACAATGAAATCATGCAGAACCACTAAGAACTCAAAGTTAATTCCCCATAATTCAAATTTCTGTAAAATATCACATCTGACATACATAATATAAAAGGCTTATAATTTAGCAATGGTGAGTTTCTGGTTAAAACTATTATCACTTAGATTGTATTAATTGAATACTTTCTTTTTTAGATTTGTTTATTATTTTTATTGATTTTATTGAGCTATACATTTTTCTCCTTTCCCTTTCCTTCCTCTCCCCTCCCTTTCAATCCTCTCACATGGTCCCCATGCTCCCAATTTACTCAGGAGATCTTGTCTTTTTCTACTTCCCATGTAGATTAGATTCATGTATGTCTCGCTTATGGTACTCATTGTGGTCTAGGTTAGCTGGGATTGTGATTTGTAGGCTGGTTTTCTTTGTTTTATGTTTAAAAACCACTTATGAGTGAGTATATGTGATAATTGTCTTTCTGTGTCTGGGTTACCTCACTCAATATGATGTGTTTAGCTCCATCCGTTTGTCTGCAAATTTCAAGATATCATTATGTTTTTCTGCTGTGTAGTACTCCATTGTGTAAATGTACCACATTTTCCTTATCCATTCTTTGGTCAAGGGGCATTTAGGTTGTTTCCAGCTTCTGGCTATGACAAAAAATGCCGATTTGAACTACTATTTGAAATAGTTGAACACATGTCTTTGTGGTATGATTGAACATCCTTTGGATATATAAGCAAAAGTGATATTGCTGGGTCTTGAGGAAGGTTGTTTCCTAATTTTCTGAGAAATCACCATACTGATATCCAAAGGGACTGTACCAGCTTGCATACCCACCAGCAATGCGGGAGTGTTCCCTTTATCCCACAACCTCTCCAGCATAAGTTGTCATCAGTGTTTATGATCTTGGCCATTCCTACAGGTGTAAGATGGAATCTCAGCGTTGTTTTGACTTGCATTTCCTCTAATGGCTAAGTGATACTTTCTAAATGCCAGAAAATATTCAAAGGTAATGGTTTCTAATCCAGCTTTAAGTAAGTAAAACCTAGTATTTCCCATGAGCAAATTCTAAATAAATTGGCTTATAAAGTACAAGATACTGTGATACTGTGATATCCATGGGAAGATATACTGTTAACTCTTTCAGAGAGCAACTAGTCCACATAATTTCAATGATCTGTAATAACATTACTTCTATAACATTCCTAGGAGAGATGTAAGTGGTATCTCATTTAGTTGTTAGGGTATTGCTCATGTTTTTGGCATCATTAATATTTTCTGAATTTTAAACCTTTTATATTTTAAGTAATTCTTTGTGCTCTGACCAAAAAGTCAAAATGAAATTTCCTTTTTGTTAAATTGAGAACACTGTCATCTATGCACACACCTGATTCACATGCAAACCACTTTACTCTCTGAGGAGGAGGGGACTTAAACTAGGGCTCTGGGTCATGCCTGCACTTGCAAAAATAAGTAACATTGCATTGAGTAGACTTACGAAAAACATGCCTTTATATCTGATATTTTCTTGATAATATGTGTAGATGATTCCACAAAATTAGCTTTGCCGCATAAACTTTCAGCTCTATTTATTTATTTTCACATCGCTGGACATCTTAACAGTGTGAAAAGTATGATAAGTAAGTGAAAATGTGGATTTAACTGAGACTTATTTACAAAATTTGAAAGTTACTAAGAGAAACAAGAAATACATAATATCAATTGGTTTAAAAATCTAAATAAGTTTTGAACAAAGACTTAAATCCCTAAACAAAAAAAATTGAGAATTTTTTTGTAAGTCAAAGAAAAAAAGGAAACTTACAGAAGACATTGTTACCTACAAGTATTTTTCTGGGTAGGTATCATTTATTTTTATTTAGAGACTAGGACTTCACACTGTCAGATATATTCTAAGTAAAATAAATCTGCTTCATGTTATTGCAATGGAAGGAAGTATGTTTAAGTGCTCCAGGTTTTCATTTTATTTGATTGACAATTTTCCTGTAATGAGGTTTCTAAAAATATCCATTTTGTTTTAAAGGTGCTTGCTTTATTTTATTGTGACTACAAGCCAGCTGTTTACAATAATTCTGGCCTCACATCTTTTAGGTTATTGTTTTCAATATGGCTTTCACAAGAGGTAATTTAAGAGCTAATAGCAAAATACTATTTAGAGTATGGCATTTGCCACACTTGAGTAATTATTCATGAAGTTACAGTAGGCTTGAGAAAATAATCAATATTTGTACTTACTTGACTCAAATTGTAAATACGGTCTATATGCATGCTGGGACCATTGTTTACAACATTTTTGTTTTCCTCTAAAAGATGTTCTAGAAATAAAAACATGCAAAACTCAACATCTGTGCCAGAATTCCAATTCATTCAACTCTCAGAAGTTCCAGACCTACAGCCTGTTCTCTTTGGCCTCTTCTTGTCCATGTACCTCTTGGCCCTGTGTGGAAACCTGCTCATCATCCTGACAGTAAGCTCTGACTCCCATCTCCACACACCCATGTACTTCTTCCTCTTCAACCTGTCCATTGTTGATATTGGTTTCATTTCTACCACTGTTCCAACGCTGATTGTGGACATCCAAACTCACTTCCATGTCATCTCCTTTGTGGGCTGCCTGACACAGATGTCATTGTTTATAATTTTTGCATCTATGGATGATATACTTCTGGCTGTGATGGCATATGACCGGTTTGTGGCCATCTGTCACCCTCTGTATTACCAGGCCATCATGAATCCCAGTCGCTGTGGTCTCTTACTTCTAGGGTCTTTTCTTCTTTGCCTTGCAGAATTACTGATGTACTATGCAGCAATATTAAATTTTTCCAACTGTGAAGATTTTATTGAAATTTCCAACTTCTTTTGTGACCCTTCTGAAGTACTTAAACTTGCCCATTTTGATCCTGTCACTAATACCATATTCAGATTCAGTATAGCCACTCTCTTTGGGCTGCTTCCTATGTCAGGAATAATTTTCTCTTACTTTAAAATAGTTTCCTCCATCACAAGGTCACCATCATCATCAAGTGGGAAGCACAGAACCTTCTCCACCTGTGGGTCTCATTTGTCCATTGTTTGCTTGTTTTATGGAACAGGAATAGGAGTGTACTTCAGTTCCTTTCTGTCACATTCTCCATTAAATAATGCAGTGGCCTCAGTGATGTACACTGTGGTCACACCTATGTTAAATCCCTTCCTATACAGCCTGAGGAACAAGGACATTAAAACTTCTTTAAGGAAGATTCTTAACAGAACATTGTAATAATTGACATTATTTGTGAATTTACATTAATTTATTTATATATGCATTAATAAATATGTATTTACATAATATATATTAATTGTTCTTATAAACATCAATTAATGTCACATATTCTTTTCCTAACTGATACTTTAAATATTGCATGAGAAAGTGGTGGTAATTGAAGGTGAAAATATGGTGTATGGGTAGTGAGTTGTTTTGAAGATAAAAGTCCCCATAGTTAGTGGTATCGTTAGGAGGTTTAGCCCTGTTGGACAAAGTGTGTCACTGAGGAGGCTGCCTTAGAGGTCTCTCTTGGTCATCCAATCAACTTCCTTTTGATGACAAGGTATAGCCTTCTCAGTTCCAGCACCACATCTGCCTGCATAACATCATACTCCTTGTCTTGATGATAATGGAATGAACCTCTGAAACTGTAACCAGTCACTTTAATTAAATATTTTCTGTATGAGTTGTTGTAATCATAGAATCACTTCATAGCAATAGAAAACACTAACCAAGACAGAAATTGGTGCCAGGCACTGGGATATTGTTGTGATATGCCAGACCATGTGTTTGTTTGGAGGAATTTGGACTTTGGTATTTTGGGGTATGAAGGTAGTGTGTTGCAAAGAGAGGGGGCCCTTTGTCCCGGGTGCTGGGCTAGCTCACACCTGAAATAATCACACAGAAACTGTATTCACAAAAACACTGCTTGGACCATTAGCTCTATTGCCTTATTGGTTAATTCTTAAATCTTAATTTAACCCATTTCTATTAATCTGTGTATCACCATGTGCCTTACTGGCAGGATTCTAACCAGCATTTGTTTCAGGCAGAAGACACATGGTGTCTCTCACTCTGCCCTTCTTCCCAGCATTTAGTTATGTCTTCTCCACCTAACTTAGTTCTGCCCTATCAGACCCAAAGCTGGTCTTTATTCATTAACCAATGAAAGCAAGACATGAACCTCCTACACCATTTCCTTTTTTTCTGTTTAAACAAAAAGAAAGACTTTAACTTTAACATTATAAAACTACATATAACAAAACAGGTATCAAATTAAAATTACAGTTACAATACATATATTTGCTTTATCTTTCATCATAACTAAGGAGAACTATATATAACTATAACTATAAATTCTTCAACTCCATCAAAGACTCCAGAAGGATATAATATTACCGAAGTAAACAGAAAGTGCATTGTAAGAAACTTTCTTTTTTTTCTTTTAGTTTATTTATATGATGGATTATATTGATACATATGTTTTTATTGAAAAAAAATTTCCGCCCTCTTCCAGCCTCCCATTTCCCTCTCCCTCCTCCTACTCCTCTCCCCTCCCATCCAGTCTGAAGAGCAGTCAGGGTTCCCTGCCCAGTGGAAAGTCAAAAGTCCTCCCCACTCCATCCTGGTCTAGGAAGGTGAACATCCAAACTGGCTAGGCTCCCACAAAGCCAGAACATGAAGTAGGATCAAGACCCAGTGCCATTGTCCTTGGCTTCTCAGCAGCTTTCATTGCACGCCATATTCAGAGAGTCCAGCTTTATCCCATGATTTTTCAGTCACAGTCCAGCTGGCCTTGGTGAGCTCCCAATAGATCAGCCCCACTGTCTCCGTGGGTGGGTGCACCCCTTGTGGTCCTGACTTCCTTGCTCATGTTCTCCCTCATTCTGCTCCTCATTGGGACCTTAGGAGCCCAGTCCAGTGCTCCAGTGTGGGTCTCTGTCTCTATCTCCATCCATCACCAGATGAAGGTTCTATGGTGATATGCAAGATATCCATCAGTATGGCTATAGGATAGGGTCATTTCAGGTTCCCTATCCTCAGCTGCCCCAGGGACTAACTGGGGACATCGGCCTGGGCACTTGGCAGCCCCTCTAGGTCCAAGTCTCTTGCCAACCCTAAGATGGGTCCCTTAATTAAGATATGTGCTTCCCTGCTGCCCTATCCAAACTTCCTTTATCCCAATCATCCCGTTACCCCAAGTTCCCCCCATCCTCCCCTTCTCACCTTTCTCTCCCATCTCCCCTTACCCCTCTACCACTCCACCCCCAAGATCCCAATTTTTTGCCCGGCAATCTTGTCTACTTCCCATAACCAGGAGGATAGCTATATGTTTTTCTTAGGGTTCACCTTCTTATTTAGCTTTGTTAGGATATAATATTATAGACTCACTGACCTTTATTTATGGCTAGAAACCAATCATGAGTGAGTACATCCCATGTTCATCTCTTTGGGTCTGGGTTACCTCACTTAGTATAGTGTTTTCTATTTCCATCCAATTGCATGCAAAATTTGAGAAGTCATTGTTTTTTACCACTGAGTAGTACTCTAATGTTTATATATTCCACACTTTCATCATTCATTCTTCCATTGAAGCGCATCTAGGTTGTTTCCAGGTTCTGGCTACTACAAATAATGCTGCTATGAACATAGTTGAACAAATGCCTGTGTCATATGATCGGGCATCTTTTGGGTATATTCCCAAGAGTGGCATTGTTGGGTCCAGGGGTAGGTTGATCCCGAATTTCCTGAGATACCACCACACTGCTTTCCAAAGTGTTTGCACAAGTTTGCATTCCCACCAGCAATGGATGAGGGTACCCCTTCCTCCATAACCTCTCCAGCAAAAGCTATGATTGGTGTTTTTGATTTTAGCCATTCTGACAGGTATAAGATGATATCTCCAAGTTGTTTTGATTTGCATTTCCCTGATTGCTAAGGAGGTAGAGCATGACGTTAAGTGTCTTTTGGCCATTTGAACTTCTTCTGTTGAGAATTCTCTGTTCAGATCAGTGCCCCTTTTTAAATTGGGTTAATTAGCATTTTAGGTCTAGTTTCTTGAGTTCTCTATATATTTTGGAGATCAGACCTTTGTCTGTTGTGGGATTGGTGAAGATCTTCTCTCAGTCAGTAGGTTGCCTTTTTGTCTTAGTGACAGTGTCCTTTGCTTTACAGAAGCTTCTCAGTTTCAGTAGGTCCCATTTATTCAATGTTGCCTTTAATGTCTGTGCTGCTGGGGTTATACATAGGAAGTGATCTCCTGTGCCCATGTGTTGTAGATTACTTCCCACTTTCTCTTATATCAGGTTCAGTCTGTTCAGATTGATATTGAGGTCTTTAATCCATTTGGACTTGAGTTTTGTGCATGGTGATAGATACGGGTCTATTTTCATTTTCTACAGGTTGACATCCAGTTGTGCCAGCACCATTTGTTGAAGAGACTTTCTTTCTTCCATTGTATACTTTTAGCTCCTTTATCGAAAATGAGGTGTTCATAGGTTTGTGGGTTAAAATCCGCATTTTCTATATGTTTCTATTGGTCGACTTCTCTGTTTTTATACCAATACCACACTGTTTTCATTACTATAGCTCTGTAATAGAGTTTGAAATCAGGGATGGTAATGCCTCCAGCAGATTCTTTATTGTATAGGATTGTTTTGGCTATCCTGGGATTTTTGTTTTTCCATATAAAGTTGATTATTGTCCTCCCAAGATTTGTGATGAATTTTGATGGGACCTTGATGGGGATTGCATTGAATCTATAAATTGCCATTTTTACAATTTTGATCCTCCCAATCCAAGAACAAGGGAGATCCTTCCATTTTCTGGTATCCTCTTCAATTTCTTTCTTCAATGCCTTAAAGTTCTTGTCAAATAGATCTTTCACTTCCTTGCTTAGAGTTACCCCAAAATATTTTATGCTGTTTGTGGTTATCGTGAAAGATGATGCTTCTCTGATTTCCTTCTCTGCTTCCATATCCTTTGTGTATAGGAGGGCGACTGATTTTTTGGAGTTGATCTTGTATCCTGCCATATTACTAAAGCTGTTTATCAGCTGTAAAAGTTCTTTGGTGGAGTTTTGGGGGTTGCTTATGTACACTATCATATCATCTGCAAATAACGAAAGTTTAACTTCTTCCTTTCCAATTCGAATCCCCTTGATCCCCTTATGTTGTCTTATTGCTATTGCTAGAACTTCAAGCACTATATTGAAGAGGTATGGAGAGAGTGCAAAGCGTAGTCGTGTTCCTGATTTTAGTAGGATATCCTTGATTTTCTCTCTGTTTAGTTTGATGTTAGCTGTCAGTTTTCCATAAATAGCTTTTATTATATTTAGGTATGACCCTTGTATCCCTAATCTCTCCAAGACTTTTATCAAAAAGTGATGTTGAAGTTTTTCAAAAGCTTTTTCAGCATCTAATGAAATGATCATATGATTTTTTTCTTTCAGTTTATTTATATGATGCATTACATTGATAGATTTTCATATGTTGACCAGCCCTGCATCTCTGGGATGAAGTCTACTTGATCATAATTGATAATTTTTCTAATGTGTTCATGGATTCGGTTTGACAGTATTTTGTTGAGGATTTTTGCATCGATATTCATGAGTGAGATTGGCCTGTAATTCTCCTTCTTGGTTGAGTCTTTGTGTGGTTTTGGTATCAGAGTAACTGTAGCTTCATAAAAGGAATTTGGCAATGACTCTTCTGTTTCTATATTGTGAAATACATTAAGGAGTATAGGGATTAGCTCTTCTTGGAAGTTCTGGTAGAATTCTGCATAAACCATCTGGTCCTGGACTTTTTATGTTAGTGAGGTTTTTGATAACAGCTTCTAATTCTTCGCGACCAACAGGTCTGTTTAGATTGTTCACCTGGTCCTGGTGTAACTTTGGTATATGGTATTTATCTAAAAAATGCCCATTTCTTTTACATTTTCCAGTTTTGTGGCATATAGGCTTTTGTAGTAAGATCTAACGATCCTCTGAATTTCCTCTGTGTCTGTGGTTTAGTCCCCCTTTTCATTTCTGATCCTATTAAGTTGCATATTCTCTCTCTGCTGTTTGATTAGTTTGGATAGGTGTTTATCAATCATGTTGATTTTCTCCAGGAACCAGCTTTTTGTTTCATTGATTCTTTGGATTGTTTTCTGTGTTTCTATTTTGTTGATTTCAGCCCTCATTTTGATTATTTCGAGTCTTCTACTCCTCCTAGGTTAGTCTGCTTCTTTCT